GAGGAGGACATCGCGGAGGCGACTCAGATGATGGCAGCGGCAGCGGGCGGCCCGACACACACCCCTCGCCCGCCGCCGCCGCTGGGCAGCATCGCGGAGTCGCCAGCCGCAGAGCACCGCGGTAATTCTTTCCCTGCCGCAGAGCCGGCCGAGCAAGTCCTCGTCGAGGCGAGAGGTAGCCGAGATGCGGCAGAGATGCAGCCGAGATGCGGGCGAGCTGCGGCCTGAGGTGTGGGCGATATGCAGCAAGTCCTCGCCAACGCGCCCGCCGCCCCGATTTGGAGCAAGTCCCCTCAAGCTCTCCCCGTGTGAGACCTCCCCCCCCTCCCCCGCGCAGTCCACGCCCCCCGACCGTGTCGGTGCGGCCGGCGGCGTCTCCGCGTGTGCCGCCGCCTCAAGCAGCTCTTACGAGGCCGGGCACGCCCGCTCGTCCAACCTCGCGCCGCCCTCTCGGCCGCCCTCCTCGGCCGCGCGCGGCTCGGACTCGCTGCACCCCGAGTCGCAGCCTCAGGACAGCATGATGCCTGCGGGTGGGCACGACGCGAGCGGTGCTGCGCGGCAAGCGGCGGAGCTGCGCCTCCGGCAGCCCGTTCCTGACGGCGTGCTGCTACCGCTGTAGGCTCCGCGGACCTGGTGGGCGACGAGGAGGGCGGCTGCTCCGACCCGTTTGCAGGAGCCTATTCGCAGGCCGGGGCGGCGGGGGCAGCGCCGGCGCAGGCGGGTGGTGTGGGCGAGGATGAGGCAGCGGGTTTGTTGAACGAGACGCAGTGCAGCGAGTCCATGCGCGCGCCCCAGGAGGGGCTCGACTCGCAGGAGACGGACAAGGGGTCGCAATCGGAGTGAGTTGCCCGCGCCGTCGATGGCCGCCACCGCTGCGGTCGGAGCGGAGGCGGGTGCCGGCGTCGCAAGAGGAGGAGCGTACAGTGCATGCAGCAAGGGGAGGAGGAGGCCAGCAGGGCTGGGGGGCCGATGCTCCTGCACAGCCCTTAGCTCGGGCGAGCGGCGAGCGTAGTCGACTCCTGAGGACTCCTCGCTCGGCTCACAGCGGAAGGGCCGCGGCCGGGCCGCGGGCTTGTGGCGGCTGGGTGTGTGTGGACGAGCAACATTCTCACAGGTCGTCTAAGCTGCTGGGCCTGGGGACTGGACTCTGTCGAGTGTTGATTTTTGTGTATGTACTCCCTACGTACGTGTGTGTATAAGTAAGAGCGGTTTGATGTACACAGGAAGAAAAAGAAAAAAGCACACTGTTTGTGGGGAGGGTTTCCATCGTTAGGGTGCCCACAGGACCCAAAAAAAGAAAAGAAAAAATGTGGGCCGCCCCCGATCGCAGCACTTCGTGTTGGAGAGTCGAGATATTGAGAGTGTGACTAGGAGGGAGGGACGCTGGGGATTCTCAAAGGTATACCCTTGGAATGGCCGGATCCAGCCTTAAAAGTACGAGATCGCGCGCGCTTCACGCACAGCACCGCCTGTTCTCCGCGGCTGTGTGACGACGCGTGCCGTGTGCCAGCAGAGTTGGGCGCGCGCGGCGCGACGGCGCCCGCGAGGGAAGGCGCGGGTGCAGCGGCCGCCGGCGGCCGTACCGCCCGCCAGCCGGCGCAGCAGCGGCCAGCGCAGCGGCCGCCGGGCGCAGCAGCCAGAGCAGCCGGTGCGCGCATTGCGAGGCGAGTACTGCCGTCCGGCAGCCTTGAGGCGGCCGGGCGGCAGTACTCGTTCGAACTTTGCGAGCCGTGCGCGCGCCGAGGCGCCCGCGGCGCGCGCCCGCCCGGCTGCCAGTAGGAGGCGGCGCAATATGGCCTATAGTACAGCCCTTGAGGAGGAGGAAGAGGCTGGCTGGCAGTGCTGTATGCCGCCGAGGGGCAGTTTTGGGGTGCTGACCCACTCCCAGGGGGCTGCAGAAGGCGTCCGCAGCCGGGACAACCCGCCCCCCCAGCCGAGGCCGGTCGAAGCCCACTTGAGCACAGCCATGAGGAGTCCTCTTGGTGCTCCTGGCGGCCGTTGGAATGGCGAGCGCGCGCCGATGGGGGGGGGGGGGGTCTTGCTTGCTCCACACCGAGCGCCGACCGGCGTGCTCACCGAGGGGTGGCCTGCACAAGGTCTGAGCCGCGGGCGCTCGGCGCCAAGTGCAGTGTCACGCTCGCACTGGAGCGGGTCACAATGGGAAACCCTCGTTTCCTATGTACTCGGTCCCCCACCGGAAGAGGTCCCCCACCGGAAGAGGCCTCGCTCCTATTGAAACATTCCAACATCAGATTTGCCGCGTGCGTCCCTTTTTGAGCTGGAAAGCTATTTTCTTTTGGGTCCTGTGGGCACCCTACCATCGTGATTTCCGCGGAAATTTCTTTTTCTGGTGTGAAATTCCGGCGCGTGAATAAGAGGGAAAAACCGACACCTTAGTCCTTACCATACCTACCGCCCCCGGCCCAAGCAAAAAAATACCCTTGACAACTAAAAAGGGGAGCCGAGGAGTCGAACCTCGATCGCGGGAGCCACATTCCCGAATCATGACCCCATTAGACCAACCCCCAAAAGCAAAACAGGATGGTAGTCCGGAGACCAAGTAACAAGCGGCTTTTGCAAGCGGCTGAGCTCTGTTTGTTGTTTGCTGTGACCATCCTGGCTAGCCACATTCCCGAATCATGACCCCATTAGACCAACCCCCAAAAGCAAAACAGGATGGTAGTCCGGAGACCAAGTAACAAGCGGCTTTTGCAAGCGGCTGTTGCAAGCGGCTGAGCTCTGTTTATTGTTTGCTGTGACCATCCTGGCTCCCTCCCTCGCACACGACTTATATCCAGCCCTCGCGCACCTTGCCCCGTACACTTGTGGCGGCGTCCGCTGTCCGGGTCCAGTCGTTACTCCGAGTATGAGACTTCCGTTCCGGACACGACCACGACGCGGAGAGGAGGACGTGTGCCACTCCACTCCGCCACAACTCACACGATGCCGTCCACTACTCCCTGCTCCTCCGCCTCCGCCTTCGTTGCGATGATGGACTCCAAGACGGCCGGCGAGAACGGCGCGCTCGAGCACTCCGACGCCGGCTCCCCGCTCGTCGCCCTCTTCTTCAAGCTCGTCCGCTCGCTGCCCGACGACTCTCTCGCCTCGCTGACCGCCGCCGTGCCCGCCGAGCCCGCCTCGCTCGCCGACCTGACGGTGCTCGCCTTCCAGACCCGTGCAACACGCGGTATGGGCAAGGGCGAGAAGGACCTCTTCTTCAAGATGCTCGCCGCCCTCCCCGTCGAGGCTGCGACGGCGACGCTCCACCTCGTGCCGCACTTTGGCTACTGGAAGGACTACCTGCTCATGCAGGGCGTCGCTGGGATCGACGCGGCGGTCAAGGACAAGGCGCTGTCGCTCCTCGCCGACCAGCTGCTCAAGGACGCGGCCGAGCTCGAGGCGGCCGAGAAGGAGGCGCGCACCCCGAACCTCACCCTGGCGGGCAAGTACGCGCCCCGCGAGGGCTCCGCCTTTGACGGCCTCGCCAAGCGGCTCTCCACACACCTCTTCGGGAACAAGAACGAGGCGGCGTCGGCGCGCAAGTACCGCAAGCTCGTCGCCTCCCTCAACCGCGCCCTCCTCACCACCGAGGTGCTGATGGCGGCCAACCGCTGGGCGGAGATTGAGTTCGCGCGCGTCTCGTCCCTCTGCCTGCAGCGGTCGCGCAAGGCCTTCCTCAACGAGGCGCTCAAGGGCAAGCTGGCGCCGGCGCAGGAGGAGACGGGCAACCGCCACCCCGAGGACGAGCAGCGCGTTGCGGCGCGGCACAACCTGCGCAAGGCCCTCCTCGAGAAGGGCGCCAAGGCCGTCAAGGGCAAGCAGCTGTATCCGCACGAGATCGCGCAAAAGTGCATGCGCGGCGGCCGTACCGAGCTGTCGACCCTCGAGGCGGACCTGATGCACGCGCAGTGGGAGGCGATGCGCGAGGGCGTCAAGGAGGCGATGGCGGCGGCGGCTGAGGCGCGCGAGGCGGCGGTCGCCGAGGCGGCGGGGGAGGGTGCGCCGCTCGAGGCGGTGGCGGCGGTGCGGGCGGCGCTGCCAAAGCCGGTCGACCTCGGCAAGCTGGTGCCGCTGATCGACGTCTCTGGGTCGATGGTGGGGACGCCAATGGAGGCGGCCATCGGCCTCGGCCTGGTTGTGGCCGAGCTGTCCCACCCCGCCTTCCGCAACCGCGCCATCACCTTCGAGTCGAGCCCGCAGTGGGTGCACCTCGACGGCGCAGGCAAGGTGGCGTCCAAGGTGCGGGCGCTGCAGGGTGCCAGCTGGGGCGGGTCGACCGACTTTGAGGCGGCGTGCGAGCTGGTCCTGGGCTGCGCGGAGCGCGCCCGGCTCAAGCCGGACGAGGTGCCCGACCTGATTGTCTTTTCCGACATGCAGTTCAACGAGGCGCGGGGCGCGCACTGCATGTACGGCCGCTACGGCGGCGGGCGGTCCGCGTCGTGGGAGACCCACCACGAGCGGCTGACGCGGCGCTTCGCCGAGGTTGGGCGTGCGGTGTGCGGCGAGCCGTACGCCGCGCCTCGCATCATCTATTGGAACCTGCGCGGGAACACGGCGGGCTTCCCAGTGCAGGCTGACGCGCCCAACACGCAGATGCTCTCCGGCTTCTCGCCGTCGCTCCTCAAGCTGGTCCTGGCGGGCAAGGACCTGGTGGGCGACGAGAAGCAGGTCCGGCTGCCCGACGGCACGGTCAAGGTGGTGCGCGAGGGGCCGACGCCGGAGGAGACGGTGCGCGCCGCCCTCGACGACCCCGCCTTTGACGCGGTGCGGCTGGCGCTGGCTGGCGTGGAGGAGGGGCCGCTCGCGGGGTACTCGTTTGAGAAGGACGACGCGGTCGTAGTGGCGGACGCGCCGATGGCGGAGGCCTTTGAGATTGTATGATTGGCGTTGTGAAATATTTCTCTTCTCTAAACAAGACTCCCGCGTTCCCAACCCCACTTGCCGGAGCGCGGCCCCAGACACTGGCATCGGCCTGACCGCCCGCCTTCCCTCTCGCCGTCGCCGTTGGAGCAGCGCCATCGCCGTCGGACGGTGCGCCATCGCCGTTGGCAGACGCGAGTAGCCGTCCTCTCTCGCCACCCCGGGAGCGTCACAGGCCGTGCAGAGCGGCCGCGATCCAGCCTCCGACCGGCCGCGTGGTCCCGCCCACCGCACCTCGCGTACGTGCCTTGTCTCGCCGTCGCCGTTGGTGCCGTCGCCGTTGGAGCAGTGCCATCGCCGTCGGACGGTGCGCCATCGCCGTTGGCAGACGCGAGTAGCCGTCCTCTCTCGCCACCCCGGGAGCGTCACGGGCCGTGCAGAGCGGCCGCGATCGAGCCTCCGACCGGCCGCGTGGTCCCGCCCACCGCACCTCGCGTACGTGCCTTGTCTCGCCGTCGCCGTTGGAGCAGCGCTGTCGCCGTTGGAGCAGCGCCATCGCCGTCGGACGGGGTGCCATCGCCGTTGGCAGACGCGAGTAGCCGTCCTCTCTCGCCACCCCGGGAGCGTCACGGGCCGTGCAGAGCGGCCGCGATCGAGCCTCCGACCGGCCGCGTGGTCCCGCCCACCGCACCTCGCGTACGTGCCTTGTCTCGCCGTCGCCGTTGGAGCAGCGCTGTCGCCGTTGGAGCAGCGCCATCGCCGTCGGACGGGGTGCCATCGCCGTTGGCAGACGCGAGTAGCCGTCCTCTCTCGCCACCCCGGGAGCGTCACGGGCCGTGCAGAGCGGCCACGATCCAGCCTCCGACCGGCCGCGTGGTCCCGCCCACCGCACCTCGCGTACGTGCCTTGTCTCGCCGTCGCCGTTGGAGCAGCGCTGTCGCCGTTAGAGCAGCGACATCGCCGTCGGACGGTGCGCCATCGCCGTTGGCAGACGCGAGTAGCCGTCCTCTCTCGCCACCCCGGGAGCGTCACGGGCCGTGCAGAGCGGCCACGATCGAGCCTCCGACCGGCCGCGTGGTCCCGCCCACCGCACCTCGCGTACGTGCCTTGTCTCGCCGTCGCCGTTGGAGCAGCGCTGTCGCCGTTGGAGCAGCGCCATCGCCGTCGGACGGGGTGCCATCGCCGTTGGCAGACGCGAGTAGCCGTCCTCTCTCGCCACCCCGGGAGCGTCACGGGCCGTGCAGAGCGGCCACGATCCAGCCTCCGACCGGCCGCGTGGTCCCGCCCACCGCACCTCGCGTACGTGCCTTGTCTCGCCGTCGCCGTTGGAGCAGCGCCGTCGCCGTCGGACGGTGCGCCATCGCCGTTGGCAGACGCGAGTAGCCGTCCTCTCTCGCCACCCCGGGAGCGTCACGGGCCGTGCAGAGCGGCCGCGATCCAGCCTCCGACCGGCCGCGTGGTCCCGCCCACCGCACCTCGCGTACGTGCCTTGTCTCGCCGTCGCCGTTGGAGCAGCGCCATCGCCGTCGGACG